GACTTCCAAATAACTGATTTGATCTTGATATATTTCTTAGAAAAGCATGACAAATTAGATGAGAGATGTTGAAACGCTTTAATCTTTCCTAACACATTTCATCCGGTTTTATCTGCCAGTTTTACGGGCTCCTGCTGTCTGTGTGTGCATGCAGAACTGTTTAGTGGTCACAAGGTATTTGACAGGTTATGACACTTGACATAAATCTATGTGACAACAGCTGACTCAATTGCTGATAAAGCATTTGGAGATTGCTCAACAAAAACACATCAGGGAGCCGACAAATACGTGACTCATATGTACCTACGCAGGTCTTGCTTTCGCAACAAGAGAGGAAGGGATTTGACAGACAGCAATGCTGTTTTCTTTTTCTGTCTTTAACATTTTGTTCTTGTTGGGATGTTTGTGGCATAACATACCTAGCACAAAACAAATGAACCTTTCACCAAGCCAGAGTTGGATGAACTTATAAACTTTCAATAAACTGAAAATCAATGGGTTGTGGAGGATCAAGGTTGAATGATACTTGACCAGTGCAATGTGCTCAGTGTTTATGCTCACATTGGGGTTTCATTACATATTGATCATTTTCCTTAGCCCTTCGTAGATGTTGACTTACAATTAGCTGCAGGTCAGCTGTTGGATTGAGATTCGTCGACTCTCACTGAAGAACAGAAATCAGTTTTAGATGATTTGAGCTTTGTGATATGGTGCGTTATCCTGTTGAAAGAAGCAAGCTGAAAGAAGGAAAAGACATGGTCAGCAAGAAGGATGCCACATTTAAACGATGCTCCATTTATGCTAAGGGGCCCAGTGTGACACTGTGGATGAATTCTGTTATGATTTACTACAAATTCAGAGCAAAATGAATGCTGCTGCTAAAATTTGTACTAAGCAATGTTTCTCCAATCTGTCTTTTTTTTTGTTTCTGACAGGGAAGGATGCTTTGTCTGACTGATGATGCTTTGTACTCAGATGAAACTAATCTTACCATCTGAGGGAATAGTTCAGTTCTTCCACCCTACTACTACCAATTGGATATTCATACAGCCATATGATAGATAAACGGTATTTATGTTCAACCCAGTGGTTACTTGAAATGCAGTTTGTCATTTAATGTGTAAAGAATCAGTTCTTCTCTTGTGAAATTATTGCTCACCTCAGATGTATTAAACCACACTCCACTGACTCCATTATGTCATTATTTATTAACTACCAACCCAAAACCCCAGTTATGTGCTCTGAATGGGTAACTAAGGTCAGTCTGGCCATTCTTTCACCTCCTCTCCAGAGCACCGACATTCACTGGATATTTTTCACTTCTTTGCTGTAACAGAAGTTGGTTAGACACAGTAAAAAAATCATCCACCAGTCCAATTTAATTTAGTATTGTTTTAATTGTAAACTTGCAACCACCACCAAAGAAAAAAACGTTGGCAATCATCTGTTAGACAAATAGCTCCAGATATTCAGGATTAACATATCCAGACTTTGAGGACCATCGATACACTTTACTCTTTCAGCTGAGCAGGAGTCCAGTGCTTTTATTGTGAAAATGTTAAAAAATGTAATGTGAGACATTATTCTTTAAAAGTAACATATTTCTTATTTTGTAAAATAAAGTTGCTGGTAAAGGAGCAGACCTTTATTCTGAAGGACAAACGTGCTTCTCGTGTCAGTTTAAAGTCGCACACCTTTTTAGTGGTTGCATGGTCTGCAATATTCCTATGCACCACAGTTTTATGATTTTCTCAGCCTCCAGATTTATTGTTGATAATGTGCAAAGCTACTTAAAATAAATTGATCTTTTGATCCACAAGCAAAATCTCCCCTTGGAAAAAATTTATATACTCTATTAGTTACCAGAAGGCGCTCACAAGCACAAACTAAGACGTGGCTCCACTTATTTTATAGTAATAAGTGGAGCCACGTCTTAGTTTGTGCTTTCAGTGTCCAGGAACTTTTAATTAGTCTTTGATTTAATGCACCACATCTTGAATTTAATATTTTATCCATCATCTTGGTTTCTGATTCCCTGACTGATTGTTCCGTAATTCAGAACTCAATCTGGTTAAAATGCCAAGCAGCACGCTAACGCTAATAATTTTTGGACTTGGAGTTTCCAGGGTTTTCCTCCGTGACCTCCAACTGCTGTGACCTGACCTCAGCCAATAGGTGTATGAATGTCTGCAAATTACCAGATTTCTCAATATGCCAACTTTTGCACAAAAATCCTTTTTTTTTTTTTCTGGTCAAATCTTTCCTTATGTTTTTCATTATTACTCCCCTGAAGTTATGTTAAAGTTAGCTGACTCTCGAGTGATGAACTTACTCTCTATTAAAAGCGATTTCCATTTTTTTAAATAGATAATTCTTTATCAGTCTAATTATTTTCTGCTGTTTCAACTAAATCACCACTCTCACTATCTGCCCTAAAACAGTGGGGGTGTTTTTTTTGTTTTTTTTTTCTAGTATACTTAGGAAACTGAAAATCTTCTTCTCCTCGTACCGGATCGCCATCATAGAGAACAGAGAGCAAAGAAGAGAGAAGGAGGGACTGAAATCAGCTTTAAGTATATGTAGCCATGGCAACCACTTCATTTGGCGTGTAAGTGTACAGCAAGACCTTTAGTCTCCAGATATGAATATCGTTTTAAACGTTCCTCTGAGATCGTGGGTCGCTGCACGTTAAACAGAAGAGAAGGTGGGGGGGGGGGAACGTTAATGAAAAGATGAAAGCCGTGAATTAGGAGCGGTACTTCGCATACGCTTGTATTCAGATGCTGGAGTGAATGGCGCATCCATTAATGTCTAGCTAAACAGACCTTGATTCCTGTAAAGAAAAGTTATTTCTCTTCAAATCGAGTTTTGAAAGGTTATTTTCTAATCCTTAAGAGCGATAGCTGGGATGAATCGATTTGTGAATATTTTTTTTTTCTGAGGGTGGGTACGAGGTCCTCTTCAAGTGCAAAAAAGCCATTAGGTTTAGACATTCATTTGTTCATCGTCAGCCTCTATTCCCTCTCTGATTCCCCTGTGCCATTTCACCATCAAGCCTCTTTCAGCCAGCCCTTCCTCTTTCTCTCTCTCCATCTCTGTCGGCTTCATCCTTCCTCCATCCCACTCTCTTTCAGTGCCCCTGTAGTGTTGACCATGTGTGAATGGGGCTGAATGATGGGTGGGAGGATGGACGCCAGAGGTAGTTACACATCTGCACGGCACATACAAACACACATTCAGAGGCACACACACACACACACACACACACACACACACCAGGAACGCTGGTGGATGCGTGCAAAGGGCTGGGGATGAGGATGAGTCACTCCGCGCGACACATGGCGAGCTCGCAGGAGGCTGCATCCGATTTAATATGACACAAACAAACACACACAGAGAGAAAGAGGGAAATGTAGCCGCGGAAGACTTTAGCTTACACGCGTGATTGATGACGGTCATGCATCATGTTAACGAGCTTGGTTTTCCATTCCTGACGTCTGTTAAGTGACTGTATGTTTTGTCCTTAATGTGGTGACTTTGTGTTTGCGTGTGTGCGTGAGTGTGAGTGTGCCAGCATTCTTGGTCTGATAAGGCTTTTCATTAGTGTTTCCTGTAAACAGCCTGATTTCTCCAGCTTTGTCTTCTGTCATCTGCGGTTTCTCTGCCTCGATTGTCCCGTGTTGTGTGTGTGTGTGTGTTTTTCCTCTAGTTTTTATTAGAGATGACAATTCTGGCTGACCTCACAATTTTCTTTTGACGATGACTGTCAGGTCATGCTTTTAATCATTTTTAGCTCCATCTCTACACACGCTGTACCCTCACCAAACCATAAATTAAGACATAATTATATGAGCTGCTCCTCTCTAGTAGAATGTATTTTGTGAGGTTGAAGCCCAAATTTAAACTAATTCTTAAGTCATGCCAGCACCAACATATATAAGACTAAATTAGTGTATAAGGTGCTATAAACGTCAGTGTATTTGATCAGAACTTAGTTTGATTGAGTGGCACCCCAAAGGAAGAAGGAGGACTGGAAGTAGCGTGTTTCCAAACAGCAATTTTCAAGTCTTCCCAAAGACTCTCAATTTTCTTCCAGTATTGTCCAGTATTTAGCTCCATCCATCTTCCTATTTACTTTTACCTGCACTCTTCTAATAACTCGAGAAAAACATAATCCGGCCACCACCATGTTTCATCATAGGGCTGTGCTCAGTGTGCTGTGTCTGTAAGTTTAATTTTGATCTCATCTGATCAAAAGAAGTTTGTTGGTTTTTCTGATTCATCGTCCCCTTTTGCAGCCTGGCAGCTTAGGTGGACAACCATTTCTTGGACAGCTTGGAACAGTTTTTGTAACCTAACCCTTCATGACTTTGCTTCCTCTTTACTCTCTAAAACTTTTATGTCACACCAAATATTACAGGCTTAGAGAGCCCAAATGGATGGTGCTTGCAGTCCAAACAGTTGTTTGGAATATGCAATATTACAAAGACAATAAATGTATGATATGTTGCGCATCTCAAAAGGGAGACTTTATTTTTGGGCTTAAAGATTAATGAGGATCCTTTTTCTGCTTGAAATTTGGCCTGCATAAAGTGAGAGGTTGTTTGCTTCATTTCATATTCTGACCAGTTTTGTCTGACATCACCACGTGACCATGCACAGTAACGCAAAGTGAACCTCATAGCAAATTGTATGTACAGATTGAGACTCTTGCGTTGCTGCTAAAGGCCAGCAGACGTGTTTTTAATGTGTAAAAACCTGATGATGAGGAATCATATTCAGACTGCATTTAGCTGGAGCTCATTTTTTATTTGTCATTTGTTTGACAAAGGATTCATCAACAATTTACTTTCACAATTAGCTAAAAAGAAAAAAAAATCAATAAATTCCACGTCACACACTCACCAAAGCTGATCTAGTACTTGTGCTTGCAATCAAGAAAGCCGTCACTGTTTAATGAAAAAACCTCGATCCGAACTGACTCGTGTTGTTTTCTGCAGGAACATTCAGAGGTGTATGTAAGAAGATTGATCACTTTCCAGAGGACGCAGACTACGAGGCGGATGCCGCTGAATACCTCCTACGTGAGTAACCACCCCTGACTTCACTGGAACTCACTTACTTTCTTGCGCTTGTTTTCTCAGACGTGAAACAAAAACTGAGAAGGATTTAGATCAAACCACGACAATACAGGAACTCATTTTGCAAAATCATTTTGCACCAGTTTTTCACATCATCCCTGACTAAAAGGATTTATCTCTGGATTCTGTATGTGTATCAGTAACACTCTGATCACTGGTGACCGCTGTGCGCAAGTGTTTGCCTTTTGACAGAAAGTAAAACATGCCTCTTCTCAAGAAATGCAGACAAGATGCAGACACGTTTTAAAGAGTAGTGTGATTTAACGCCGACAATTCTAGAAATGAGCAACGTTTGATTAGGATATGCTTATTTAGAGGAGGAGAATTCCTAGATCAGAAATAATTCATATTAACACATGAAATGGTGGCACAGTTATTGAAACACCAACAAATAATGGGAAAATAAAGTCATTTATTTTATTTATTCTTGAGGTTTTTATGGATTATTATGTTGAAAAGCACTTCATGATCAATAAGGTTGAGAGCCTGTTTGTCTTCCAAAGGCTTTGGGAACCTCGACAAACTATATGGCACCATTAACTCTTAAGCATATCTTAAATTAAAATCGTTTCGACTCTAGAAGTAAAGAGACTCTAGGACCAGTCAGCAGACTGATCATTTTTAAGCTATAACACAAATTCAACCTTCTTCTGAGTTTTTTTTTCCACACCCTAAATCCTATTAAACCAGGACTCTAAATGATTTGAATCTTGCCTATACCAGGTGTAACCGTGTGCCTCCTGCTTCTCGTCTCCTTCATGCCTGTAGAGTAAAATATGACAGATATGAGACTTTTTGAGGGAAACAAAATGCTTTTCTAAGTCATTTACCTTTACATTTATAAAACTTAACAGAAAAATAGTCAAACATTCCCCCAGAATCAACCCCTAAATATCTACTGGAGATTCTCCATGTCCATTTTTAAAACACCAAATGAGATGTGCAACTTTCACTAAAATAGAGACTCAGTCTTTACATTAGAGAACCAGGATCTATGTAGTGATGGGTAAGCATGTGATGTGTTTCACAGTTATCATAAAGTAGCAGAAAGCACAAACAAAAGAAGAGAAAAAAAAAGGGATTCAGCCCGAGTCTTGTTTTCAATGCTCCACTAAGCAAAGAGCAACATCCCCCCGAGGCGGCCAATTAGCCCACAGGACTCTGGGTGGATTAGCCAATGAGAAGCTGGGACCTAGTGACCAGCATTACATACAGCCCAGGGTTGTGGGCCACATAGGCGGGGCTTGGTTGCTGTTATTCCAGAGGTCAATAATGCTGAAAATAATGATAAAATCTTTTAAATACATTTTTAAAAACCTAAATGTTCTTTGAAACTCGACGACTCCAACACAAGTATGCAGGAGACACACGTACACTTCTGAACGATTCCCACATAACAAATTGTCTGCTGCCGTCCTTCACTGTGATCACGTCGAGCGCACATATGGGGACTCTAAATTTTCACCCCTGCTGCAGCCTGACTTTCATATTCATCTTCTCTGTTCATTATTTCTGTGTGCATATGTCAGTGTGACTCTCCATCTGTCTGAGTTTTTGGCTATCTTTTCCCTCCCCATCTCTCTCTCTCTTTGTCTCTCTCTCGCCTCGTCTCTGGTTGCGAGGCCTCCGAATACATCAACATGTTCTGAATTCAGGCGCAGTCGGGCGTGCATCCACATACTGCAACATGTGTGTCTTGAGTGCATGCTCTAAGTGGTGCAGTTTCCGAGCACTGTGAATTTAAACTCTATGGCCGTCATGTTCGAATGCAGACTTGAGTGGCATTGTTCTGAGAGGGAAGTTCAACTCCTTAAAGGACAGAACAATAAAATTCAACAGTACTGTACTAGGAGGGTATTTATTTATATATATTGAATTTCCCCCAAGTTTTTCTTTTCAGTTGTGCAAAAGACGAATAAAACGGAAACACGGTGAAGAGAGACTACATCACATATTGTCAAACTTGGGCTGCAACAATTAATCAGATGAATCATGATCAATTTATTATTGAAGTAATGGTTGACTAATTTGGTAAATGATTAATCACTAATTAGAGTACACAGACTCAAAGAAAACGCAATTTGATGAAAGAAAAATATATTCAGAGCCACGGCCAAACAAAAAATATGTACATTTTACATTTAAGATTAAAAAAAAGCTTCTTTGTCTGTAAATATGTCTCACCTAGAGTGGCATAGTTTTAGCTTCACCTTGTTCAAATTTTGTAAAAAGAAAAAAAATCTTCCATTAAGCATCTGTAATTAAGCTCCAATTATTAATCATTTAATACAAACAAAATCAACAGATCAGCCCTGCACTGTATTGATGTTAAGTCAAGCAGAAAGAACTGAACTTTCCAAATGTCAATGTTTGTTTTTTTAGCTGCAGATGCTACTTTTGCTTCAAATGTTCAAAAGTGCACTAGAGGTTTGCTGCATTATTCCATTCTAGGCAATAGCATTATTTCCTTTTCTAAAAACAAATTGGATTAGGTGTTAATTTGTCATTTATAATGTACTTCTAATATTATAGAACAAACTTAAAATGTTAAATAAAAAAATTGCAGAAAGTGCCAGTTTTGTTTTTGTTCTTTTACTGTTTAATTGATCAAAATAATAAGCAGAATAATCAATTATTAAAATAAAGAGTTTACTAAAAAAATAATTGTGCAGATTGAATATGTTGACGTATGATTTAAATACAAACTCCAACATCTTGACATTACACCAACACGTTACAAGCGATCTGTAATTTGGTCAAATCAGGTCAAAATAAACACTATTTCAAGTCAAATATTTTCTTGTGTGTGAGTCAATCCTTCTTCCTGTTTCCTCTGTGCATGCAGGTGCCGTTCGCGCCTCCAGTATCTTCCCCATCATGAGTGTTGGTCTGTTGTTCCTGGGGGGGCTTTGTGTGGCTGCCAGTGAGTTTTACCGGAGCAGACACAATGTCATCCTCAGCGCAGGAATCTTCTTCGTATCTGCAGGTTAGTCATCACTGTGCGTCTGCCTCTGCTTGCTGCAGTCAGCGTCCTCGCTCCTCTTTCACTGTAGGAGTGTGGCATTTACCTGTCGTCTGTGGCGCCATGCAAAGAGATAAAAGCAGGACAGCATTGTTAAAAGATGCATTTCACCCACTCTGCCCCACTGTTCAACGGTCACAGGATGCCCGTGGTTATAAATGCGACATGTTGCCCTTTCTGACAGGTAATTTCACACTTCCTGCTTGATCTCATCAGTACGTGCTACGTGAAAAGCGTCTTAGATAACAGCGCTAAGAATAAAACAATTGACCCACATTAATGACTTCTTCAACAGCCTGAAACCGAGAGTTACCTCTGTTATTAGAAAACCTTAGATTTGTATATTTCTCTGGAACAAGGTCAGATCACAGAAAAAAATAGAATCAAGACCTAAGATATTAATCAAACTGGTTCCCATTTACGAATAACAAGTAATTTTATTCTACTGCTAAAGGGTAAATTTAAGTTTTATGACAAATATCTAACATTTATTAGCACAGTCTGTCTGTGAAAGGCCTTTTGAAGAAGGTTTTTACACTGTGTTCCAAATTATTATGCAAGTTATATTTTCTCAGATTTTCCTAAATGGTCAATGCAAATGATGGTCAGTATAATTTTCAAGTCATGCACTATTACAGTATAAATTAAATTTTACAGAACAAAGCTCCCCATGAGAACAGTATTTTTTTTTTAAATAATAAAACTCAAAATGCACTGTTCCAAATTATTATGCACAGCAGATTTTCTAAACATTTTATGGATCATAAAGAACTGCAAATGGTCATTCTTTGAATGTGCAGCGTTAAGTGGACACTTGTTTTAAAATCAAAAGCTATTTCAATCAAAAACATCTTAACAGACGAGTCACATAATAACATCGAACCCCTTCTTTAATATCACCTGCACAATTCTTGCATCCATTGAACTTTCCCAGAGCTGCTGCTTTGATATAAACTGCATTCAACCCTCAGATCTTCTGCTTGAGGCAACTCCAAAGCTTCTCAATAGGGTCAGAGGTCAGAGGAGGATTTTGACCACACCATGAGTTTCTCCTCTTTTATGCCCATAGAAGCCAATGATACTGTGGTATCCTTGCAGCATGAGATGGTGCATTGTGATGCATGAGGATGATTTTGCTACTGAAGGCACAGCTCTTCTTTTTGAACCATGAAAGAAAGTGATCAGTCAGGAAGTCCATAACCTTTGCTGATGTCATTTTCACACCATCATTGTCTCCGAAGGGCCTGACCAGCTCTCTCTTTAATTATAGTGATTCAAAGAGCCCTGACACTCAACACCATCTATAAATTCAATAGCACAACAAAAAATGTTATCTTTATGACACTTAAATCCAATTTGCATAATACTTTGGAACATGGTGTGTTGCTTAATTCTGAGATATAATGCCTGCTTTACTCTGAGAGGAGAAACGGGAAATGAGGGACTTATTTAGGTCAAACGTGCGCCAAACAACTGTGATGGAATCTGTTTCCACCTTTCCTGCATTCTCTTAAAAACTCATGGTTAATGAAGAGCAGGCACCTCGAATGCAGGTCATTTTGACTCATGTTGACGTCATAAAGTTCCAAGTTCTGTTTATTATTGTGAAATAAAGAATGTCCTGTAAGCACGTTTTCGTCTCCGTGTGTTTCTTCCAGGTCTGAGCAACATTATTGGAATTATTGTCTACATCTCAGCCAATTCTGGAGATCCAGGTCAAAGTGACAGCAAGAAATCCTATTCGTATGGCTGGTCCTTCTACTTCGGCGCCCTCTCCTTCATAATGGCGGAAATGGTGGGTGTGCTGGCGGTGCACATGTTCATCGAGAAGCACCGCAAGCTGCGCGCCAAGTCCCGCACCGAGCTCATCAAGAAGTCCGCCTTCAGCCGCATCCCCTCCTACCGCTACCGATTCCGCCGCCGCTCCAGCATGCGCTCCTCCGAGGCCCCGAGCCGAGACACGTCGCCGCTGGGGAAGGGCGGCTACACGGGGCCGGCCGCCTCCGAGATGCCCATGTACACGCTGAACCCGAGAGAAGCGGGCAGCGCGGGCGGTAAAGCGGGTAGCGGCATGGGTGGGCTGCTCAACTCGGAGAGGGATTTCCTCCAGAGCAGCACGCTCACTAAAGACTACAACAAGGACCCCAACCGCAGGACCACACCAGTCTGAGGGAATCTGGCTGTAGATATCACCCAATCAGAGTGTCAAAGAGGAGGAGGAGAAATCCAGTGGAATTCCAAGCAAACAAACGGGAATACGAAGGGTTGTGGGATTGGGAAGGGGTTTGATTAACCCTAACTGTGAACTATGAAATTTTTAGCCTTTGAACTGTGAATCTTTTGCGCTCTGAGAGTTTCTTAGTGTGTAGCAGGGCAGGTTTTGATGGAGAAGTTCTTCCCAACATTCGTGTGCGCCTGAAACACCTTAAAATGATTATCTGTAGCCGCTTACAAATGACAACTGTAGCAATTTAGGTTCATTATTTTCATGTTCATAAACTGACTTTCTGACATTTTTAAGGGGAAGAGAAGAAGACATACAGAGTTGTTGTTTGGAACAACTTCTCCTGACAAATCACAACTGATGTGAAATTAGTTGTGAGAGAAGAGAAAACGTGCAATCTTTGATCTTCACACCTCTCTCCTCCTGTCCTTTTGGGTAGCAGTAGAGCCGGAGGGGAACAGTTAACTTTCTAAATGTGATATTAAATAGTGAGAAAGTTAAACTCACAAGGCTTAATTCAGTTTTGGATCGGCCGAGTTCAGAAGAGAACAGAAAATCTGTGCCATTGACATTTGTTGAAGTGATTATTTCTACATTTGTTTACTCGTTTCATATGAACTGACTTCAAACTGAGCTGAAACTGAATTGAGCCGATTCCATGATTCCTAGATCTGCCCGAGGCTGACTTCAGATCAGCTGCTGGAGAGTGAGCAGAAAAGTTGACTCAACAAATCTTAACATTCGATCGTTTGGTGCTTCCTCTCAGCTGTGTTTTTTCTGCCACTTCTTGAGTTTTCTGTACCTAAAAAAAAAACTCCAGACGACCAGATATTTGTCTGTCTGCCTTCACAAATCACCTTTCGCCTTCCATGTCTTTGCGTGTGGCCCCATACTTCACCTCGCTGACACCCTCCCCGCACTCTGCTTTCCCTGTACTTAAAGCGACGGTAGATTTAGCTTTCGTCTTCCTCGTAGAGTAGTTAGGTTTTCTGGATGTTATTGTTTCAGGGTAGAGTAAGGGATGGCGTCAGTGTAAGGGAGACCGCTGAGCTGTGAAGTATACATTAAGGCAGTGCCAAAACAAAAACAAACAAAACAAAAAAAAAATGCACTTACCGAACTAGAAAAGGACCTTTTGTGTCTGCCCTCTACCTCTCCTGTCAGCATCTTTAATTCAACACGACGTTGTTTCTGCTAAAGCAACTGCAAAAAAAAAAAAAAAAAAACTGCTGCATAAGTGAAAAGAGACAGAAATGCTCCTTTAATTGAATCCAATGGAGTGTCTTATATAAAAGGAGTTAAAATGTATCTATCTGTAATTCCAGCAGCACAATCTCATGCTGCAAAATTTTGGAAAACCAAACCTTTAATTTTTGCATATTTATTCAGTTGGGGGGGGAAATTATGTTATTGTTATTATTGTTTTGATAAAATTATTAATTGCTCTCCACAGTATCTGTGATGACTTGGGTCAATTTTTCTTCCCAACAACCTGCGCATCTCATAAGAGCATCATGAACAGAAAAATCTGCCCAACATTAAATGTTACTAGATTATGCTACTGCGATTAGAGATGAATTTTATTTTAAGGTTTGTTTTTTTTAAATACTTTTGCCGGGGATGCCCATCGAACAGATGTAATGCATCGCAACGTCCAAAAACGCACTGCTGTCATTTAAACGCGTCGCCCCGCTGCCTCCCGTGTAAACAGGCTGTTTTAGTAATAATGTTTGCAAAGGACTGAAATTATTCTACATCCCAGCATTTTGGGAATCGTGTTTTTGAATCATTCCCAAAGAGAGAATCTATAAATAGCATCTAAAGGCAAATTTGACCATTTTCGTGATAGAAAATGCAAAGACCGCTACCTGATTTCATCCAGATATGTCAGTGTGCTCAGTGATCAGCAGCCGTGGGAGGATTGTGTCAATAAAATGTTTAATAATGGCGACTAACTTATTTTAAAAAAAAAACAAAACAAAAAAAAACGTGTCTGTGCCAGTGAGACTTTCTCAAGTCCTTAAAAAGAACAACAATATTTATATTGCCTCTTTGTCTTCTAGCATTTACTGATTTGTCTGTAGAGTTATTGCTGATAGCAGTGAAAAGAAAAAGAAGCCATAAAAAATAGGGAAGAATCTGGGAAGACTTGTTTTGGTCAAACAGCGCTGTGTTAAAATAGTATCCCACGCACTGATTTCTGATGGGGGTTTTTTGTTTGTTTTATTTATTTATTTATTAATATTTTATGTCTGACAAATTCACCTGAGTAAATACAAAATGCTGTTTTCAGATGACCCCCTATTGGTGGTAGTGTGACGGTCTGGGACTGCTGGACCTGTTGCTTCCTCTGAACCGACCCGAAACAGATCCACTTATAAATCACTCACTAAAAAGAGAGGGTTTGCACTGTCCTAGTCAAAGTTCAGACTTACAACCTGTTGAGATGCTTATGCAGGCCGTTCATTTCTAAACACACCGCAGTGCGACTGATTTACGGCTCTTCTGAGGTTTTGATGGCAGCTGTTGTAACTTAATGAATCATAGTAACGAATGAAAGAATATGTTGGAAAAGCGGGATATCGTTTAGAAATAAAACTCGATGAGTGATTGGAAACAAAAAGAAAAAACAGAAGAAATCTGTAAGGAGGTAAAATATTTTTTCATAAAGTAGAACGTTTCACAGCAGTCTCTTGGTTGTTGTTGGGGTTTTTTTTTTTTGTTTTTGTTTTTTTAATTTCGTTTATGACAAAAAATATTTCCAAATGTGTTTCTTGCCTCCCAAAGCCATCATTGCACTCTTTTTGTACAAATTAAAAGACGAGCCGACGCACTCTGCTCTGACAGTCACCAACGATTAAAGATCTTCGAGCCGCAGTCAAACTCCTTAACTCACAAAGCTGCTGTTCGGTCTCCCATCTTTCACGCCATAAAGGGAACAGACGGGCACCTGTGCGTGCTGCCCCGCCACCTGCGAATATTAATTTTGCAAGCTAACCGCAAAATCAGCCGCTGCTGTGGGCTGCGAGATGAGGAGGAGAGAGGGGGAAAAAACACTTCTCTCTAAGCAAGGGCTTTTAATTTTTAAAGAACAGGAGCACACAAGGGTTTTTTATGCTCAGCACTGCAGCAATGTCGCTTTTAGGGGTGTAATCTTGAAGGGAGATGTGGGAAAAGCAAAAGACATTTGCACAGAAACAACTGTTTTAAAACCAGCTGAATAGCTTAGTGGTAATATAACATGCTGTGAGCAAAAGAGAGGTAGAAGACGTTCCTCTTCCACCCAGCTTTTTTTTTTCTTTTCTTTTTTCAGTAGCTAGAGAAAATAAATACTGCCTTAAAGAAATATAGGATGATTCTAAGTTATTGGAGTTAAGATTCAGAGTACTAGCTAACTGCTCAGAAACAGTGCCAAATATTAGTCAAAATGTCTCCCGTGTGTCTCGGCGTCCGGGTTAGCTTTAGGTCATAGAGTCACTGCTGTATATAACCGTTTTCTGTGTAGGATTTACAGACTCAGCAGTCGTAGCTACGTAGCTCAGCATAATGAGGGGCCCCTTAGATCCTTAGGGTCTGCTAGGCGCCATGTTTAGTACTGCCATCCATGTCAGCATCGACCATTCAACCCCATGCATGCCCATATCCATTCGCTTCCAGTGCTTATAGATGCTGTATCTTAAATCGGGCCTCAAACAGCACCCTGACCTCTGCACCCGGTCGGGACGCTCGGTGGGTACGTCAAGGACGCTTCGCCCGAGGCCTAATCTCTGCGGATGTTTACCCCGACGGAGCGCGGGGGGCTCTTTGAGACTCTCTTCCTGCCACCATTCAGCTTTGATACTCTGATATCAACAAGTAATTGTATTATTAGTAAAGAATTATTCTAAAGGTGCCACTGTGCAGAGGAGAACCAACTCTGTCACACTATATACTTATAATGAATATATTCATTTGAGGGGAGCGGGGTTCATTATGGGGTGCAGAGTTGGGAAGCAGGAGTCGTAGTCTTTCTATTATATTATTCTATAGTTTCCTTTTCTACTTCGTCGTGGCAGTGAGGTTTTGTTGTTTCAATCATATCGGACGCCTCCGACGGGAGAGACGAGCGAGGAGCCGGCGGACTGCTTGTGGACGTTGACCTCGCCTCACTGGTGCCAGAGACTGCGTTACCCAGCGAGACTTGCAGCACACGCAGACACTAACACGCAAACTTCAGATTCCTGCACCTACAAGTTTCTGTACTTCTGAGGACAATATATCCATCCTCAAGCTAGATGTTTAAAGCAGAAGGGAGTGAAACAGGATACTCAGCCTGTCAAGCTCTTCTTAGTGCTTTATTTGACACTGTGGCAAATGGAGAAACAATTTTGCAGGAAAGCTGGCTTAATTCATTTATGTTTCCGGAATCGAGTTGAGGCCATCGCTTTATTTTGATTCTATAAACACTTCCCTTCGCCCGAGGTCTGGCTTAAACTGCCGGTGTCCTTGTATAGAACAAGGACACTACGAAACAGTGCCCAGCAATCCTTTTTCAACCTGGACTAGTATCCTCATCCGACAACTGACAGGACACAGCAATGTGTTTGGAAAGGCGTAATATGGTCTAAAAGTGAAAATATGGGACACCCCCTGAAGAAGACAATACGCCATCCATTATCACCAAAGCTTTTACAACAAACCGATATTCTTGTGAGTTTTAACATGCTATGTGTGAGTACTAACATGTTACCAGTGTTATCTGTTGCTGCACATCATCAGTAAGCTGGGAGATAGATGGCTACTACACTTTTCCCTTGCTTACAAGAAAGATACATTCAAATTGTTGGAGAAAAAAAATGTTCCGTTAAAGTCAATGCCAATCTCACACAGGCCAATCCCTCACCTAGTAGCTAGTTCTCTAAAAATATTACTGAAACCAAAGGGTACAGGCATTGTGTTGAAATCCTTGTCCTCATTAGTACAGAAACAGAACCGCAAGAGAATAAATACACATATATGATCACAATTGCATACACGCAGACATTCCACCATGAAAAGAGACATGCACAGACGCCCACACTGAGACAGCACCCACTCCAGCTTTGCCCAGTGCGGTGCAGGACAGAAGTGCGTACTGCTCTATGAGAAATCACTGTGTCACGTTTAGTGGTCCTTTGGGAGGAAAAAAAACGACAAACTGTTCCCAACGACCCGATAGGTGGAGCGTTGAGTAAACCGAGCCAGCTAATCACACATGGACAACCGGATGAACTGAAATGTGAATTCAACGGTGTAGCTCCGATACAAAAAGACTCGCTATGTGCACTCCACAACTGACACTCACTACCAGCACACACTCTCACAAAACACTGACACGAATATGGTTACAGAGTGAGGAGGGCCTCCAGGTGGTTTTATGTGCCTGCATGTTTGTGTGTGCATGTTTTTGTGCGCGTGTACGTGCGTGTGTGTGTGTTGACGTTTATTTGTGTGTACGTGTGGAGTTAGCCTCTCCTCACCCATGCACCCAGTGCCTGCCTACCCTGCCTTCAAACAGCTCCGACATCAGCTACGGGGCTCCCAGGACAACCGTTTTCTGCATTCCCATGACACAGTATGGTTACACTGGTTCAGAGCTAAATGCCCCACTCATTCCTAGGCAGTCGTAGCCATACGAGTTGATTTGGCTGCTTTGATTTCAGTGAGTTCTGGTGGTCTGAGCTTTTGTTTTACCCTCCGGGTTTGACGGGACTTCGTAGCAGCAGCCTTCTTCTCAGACCTGACGGGTTTTTTTCTTCCAAATTTCAGTCTGTCTGTTCAATTGTATTAAAGCAGAAAGCTCCTTGCAGGAAAGGGAAAAGTCTGATGACTGTCAATGTTACTAAAACGTAGGCCCAAAAGGAGCAATGGAGCTTTTACTAATTTTGTAGAATAATGGACACAAACTTTACCCTCTCATATTTGCTGACCTCAGTGGGTTTTCAACATAAAGTCAAGTGTGTTTGCAGGGCCGCTCCATGTTACTTATTTTGTTTCTGGTGTTAGAAGACGCCATGTCTTGGTACTGTGGTTGAGAGGACGATGTTTGTCTTTGATTCTTGAAAATGATGTAGCTCTATCATCGTGAGGGATAAGAAATATAGCAATAGGTGGCGAGGTTGCAGTAGTGTCCCGGCTATCATGAAGAAACAAGCTGAATGCCAAAGCTGTTTATTTTACTGGTCAGTCCATGTTCCAACTCTTGGCCATTGTCACTAATTAGAGATCAAGACTCTCAAGATCCCATATTCTGCCACCTGAAATGAGCGGTGCGGTGGCTGCTCTCAACCTTAGCAATGCAAAACCAACATTAATTGATAGATAGATGCTCATAGTATCAAATTAGAACAACCTGGTTTAACTTACAGTAACCAAAACTTCTCCCCAGATAAAACAAACACCTTCCTGCTTAAGGGATTTTAGCAGTTTTATATGATAGATTTACCTGCTCAACGATTTTAAGACATTTTAGCTTTTTCTACAGTTGTAGGGATTTACATTTTTGGAGACGTAAGTCCCCAATAATACAGCAGCCAATATTTAAAAACGTATTTTGGTCTTGTTGATTGAAAGCTTGCATTTATATTTCCTTGCTCATTTTCAGTTCATCAGCCAACAGATTCCCTCTCTGCTGTTAACGCTGCTTCGACCTAATACATTTATGATTGAAATGGCGATGGAGCTGTTAACGTGATAACTCTGTTGAATTTCAATTTAGTCAAATTCAAAATTGAAGTGTCTTGCAGAGTTTTGTATTTGTTTACTTTGTGGCCAGACACACAAAGTTCTTGCACAGAAATTGCAATATGGACTCCAGACCTCATGGTTTCCAACATGTGACACGTCCAGTCTAGCTAATTTTAGTGGTTGCGGTTCTAATGATGAAAATAATTCTGAAATATTTTCAGTACTACCTCAGCTGGATTTCCAAGTTCACCAGGCTTGCGATATAAAAATGTAATTTCTGAGACATGACGGGTCAAAAAGATTTACTGCTACTAGGCGCCAACATGTTTACCTCGCTGTGTGTGGCCATGTCAAAGTCCAGCCAACTAATTATGAGGAATATCACAGACATAGTTGATTGATGTTTCAGGATTCTGTTCCATAACTGCAGCTGCACGGCTCTGTCTGTAATATTCAATAAGAGCTAACTTTGAGTTTCGCTAGCAGTTGCACTGCGCGCGAGGAATAAACCCACTAGCGATAGCCTTAAAGGGCTGCGACTATCCTCAGAATCTGTTACAGACATTTTCCACTTTACCTTTATGGCAAAAATGGTATAAATCAGTGTGACATAAATATGCAGCAATCAATTTGCCTCAGACCTTGAAAATTAGGATGATTAGTGGGACTTTTAGCAACCCAAGTTTCTAACAATGAATTTGTCTTCTTCATTATCATTATTATTATTATTATTATTATTATTATTATTATTACTATTATTTTGTTTTCATTCCAACATTTGGTAACACTTTATTTGACAGGGTGTGCATAAGACTGACTGTCATAAACATGACATAACACCTGAACATGAAGGAGACTTTATGAATGTCTGAGTGTTATCATGAAGTAATTCTGTAAATAACGACTCTTTTGATGCAAAGTTGCTTTAAAAGTTGCATTAAAAATCCACTAGAAGTGCAGACTTTGTATTATTTTGTAAATAATGTCGCTTTTAATGCAAAGTTGGCACTTTCAATGGACTTCCAATGCAACTTTTAGAGCAACCTTGTTGTTATTTACCTAACAACACTTTATGACAACAATCATAGACATTCATAAAACTCCTTCGTGTTCATAACAGGTGTTATGTCATGTTTATGACAGTGTCATAACAGTATTATGTCAAGTAAAGTTACCAAACAAAATAGTAGTATGCTGGTAAATAGAAGTTTTGCAGTACTATGTGTGCTACTGATTTACTGAGCTACAAACAGATATGTGACTAAATGTAATCCCTCCTACTGCTAGAGCCATGTTTACGCCCATGTTGGATTGTGACTCTCTTATTGTCCTCTGACTTTCCAGGTTGGAATTGCAACTTCAAGTGGTGTTTTTTGGGTTATTTCCAACTGGGAACTCGGGAAATTCCACTTCTGGGCACATAGGGAACAGTCAACTCACCAAAACTGTGAAGTTGTACATGTTATGATATGGATGGAGTTAAACAACACATTCCAGATGTAGGATCAAACCTTTTGACAGCTCATTGGTCACAAGTAGCAAACGGAAAGATGCTTATTGTTTGGTCGAGACACAAAATCAAGCTTTCAGAAGTCACACCGCAAACACGTGACTGGTATTTGCAGGTTTTTAAAGCACGATCTTCAAAAGAACACTGCCCCAGTTTATAGGGGTAAATCTGCACCGACTCGATGACAGGTTATCTGGACTTACCTCTACAGGCTTTCTGGGTATTCCCTGAAAAGTTTTCTGGTTTCTCACATGTAGCTAACCAAGCATTAATAAGAGCTTCAGCATGTCAAATGGCTAACGACTGTAACCTGACTCTGTCCACCTCAAAAGGACCTGAGGACTGTTAGAAAACAAACGCCAGAGCAAACTCAGGGGAAGGCTCAGTGACATTTGCATTAATTATTCAACTAGATTGGGGTTTTCTTTGTGAGTACAGGAAATCACAGTTACTGACTGAAGGCTCTTTGGTGTGAGATAAAGTGTAGCATATTAGTGAGTAGCATCACTCTTGTGAGTTTTGTTTTGTGTTGTTTTTTTTGGGAAAGAATGTGTTGGCAGGAAATGTAGCAGGTGGCTGGATGATCAGACAGTTCTCAGACGAATGTGAGGAGAAGAAACAGGAAACAACTGTTACTCGTGTTTTCTTTTGGGGCGGGGCGCATTGGGCATCGTGTTTCCTTTCAGCGAAAATGAAAGCCTCAAGTCATATGTGCAGCTGAAACCCCGAGTAGCCATTTTAAAATGCATAAGAAAAACGCGGGTGAAATTTTTCAAGCATGCGCCAAAAAGCGCTTTTGACGGGTGACAGACGTCTGGTTGGATATTTGGGCAGCTTTTTATTCCTGCTTCACACCTCTGAGCCCTGATGAGAAACAGGTAGCCCTCTGCAAACATATATAATGCACACACATGCATGCACAAACATGCTGGCTCTTATACACACACACACCCACACACACACAACTCTTAGCCACTTTCACTGTATACTTTACAATGTGAACCTCCAACAAACAGCGGTCTGACATGGACACATGCTGTAAAAACAAAAGCACACTTTTACTTACATTATATTAATATGAATACCTATATGAATACAGAATAATAATTAGAAAATAAAGAAACCTCTTTTCCAAAATGTCTGTTGTGGATTTCTATTTATTGTAAAACATGTCTGATGTCTCATGTCTGATATATTTATATATATAGAAATTACATAAAATAATCTTTTTTGGGTGAGTCTTCATCAGAAACAAAATGCAGGGCTTTAACGGGGAGGAAGTAAGTGCACTGAGTTCACACGCTTCCAACTAAACCTGCAATCGCAGACAGATGTGTATCATTCTGCTTTAGCTATCTGATGGATAAAAACGTCTGCTTATCTCCACAGCTCCGGCGCAGGTCCCTGAAAAATGGAGAGAGAGGAAGAGAGAGAGAGGATGGGTGGAAGGGGAGAGCTGAGCGAGGAGAGGGGCAGCTGAGGGGAGAAGCAGATATGCTCAAAGTTGAGAAAATGCAACCGCATAATGGAGGACTAATGCTTTGTCACATTAGGTATTTACTGAAACTTTATGTGACGGCCTCCTTAACGTAGCACACAATTGTAAATCGGAATCACAATGGCATGTGGTTTTCCAATGTTTTCGCAAAATAAATCCTGAAAAATGTGTTTTTATGGTTTTCTTTCCACAATTTTAAGTCAATCATTTCTTAATATGGATGAAAAGTATCAGTTCTACTGACAGATTATGTCACTTATAACGAGGTTGTGTTGGCAATGTTATAAATGAAATAAACTGCCAGTGAAACTAATAATAACTATAATTCCTTAATATAGAGTCCAGAATCTATATTAAGGAATTGTTTACCTAAAGCAAGATCCTATATCTTACCGAGAAGTCACTTGTGAGTTAGTTTTTGTCTTATCTTAGAAAAGATATCTTTTCTAAGATATCTTAGAAAAGATATTTTCTAAAGATATCTTAGAAAATATCTTTTCTAAGATATTTGAACTGGAAAAAAAGACCAAAAATACTTTGGAAGATTTAAGTGGAGTGTGAGACCAGCTGTTGTCCGGTCACCAGATTATCTCACCTGAGCCGTTCGTCTCTGCGGCTTCTAGAGAATTACCGAAAGGCTCTTGGATGAGACTAAGTCACACACAGATGAATTGCCGTTTGCATTTGCCACTTAGGGGACCTAGCAATGAATATCATTTAAAATGGTCAGATTAAAACCACATGTCCTTTTCCATCCACTTCACATTTGTGCGCTCCTTTATGTAGGCTGATTCCAACAATGCACATCAAAGTTTGCGGCTGTGAGCTGCTCAAATGTGGAGAGGTCAAGAGGTTATGAACACAGGACGCTGTGACAAATAGACACATGCTAGTTATTCTTCTGCAGAGTTCCTGTTGAATCGTCAAGTGATTTAATCGAGCAACGTTGCCTTGGCAGGCAGTTGCTCATTCTTATTTCGTGTCAACACTGAAAGAGTGCTTTGGGTTTAGCCTCACATGTTGCATAATTACCCCGCTAACATTTGGGCCTTATATAAATCCTCTGAAAATACCAACACGGAAAGGCACATAAAGAGTGCCGCGTGAGTGGGAAGATTTAACTGAGCGTTCAGATTCACCGTATGAATAATCCCAAATCTGACGTCACAGATGGAGCGTCTCGCGTTTGAATATGGAAATGAAGGTGTAGGAAGGCATTTCAGGAGTCTTCCCATCGGTCTTGGTTGTGCTGCGACTCTCCCCTTTTGTTCTTCTAAACTGATTGTGCCGGTTCTCTCTATCCGTCACGTCCTTCACCTCCTCTCTCCTTCACACAACTGAGCAGTGGTCATGGCCCGTGTTTTTCCACTCGTCTTCCCTATGATCCTCTTAGCCGTTTTCTGTCTTTTTTTTTTGCCCCTCTGCCACAAAATGTTCTGGTTTGAAGCCCCAACCTTTCATCAAGCAGCGTGGTGCTGTGGTAATTGCTTTCTTCAGCTCCATTGGCCCAAAAACAACAACAAAAAAAGAGACAGAGAGAGAAATGTCTTCCGTATGCTATCAGCCCATAAAAGACACTGAGCGTCCCCAGCAGGAAACACACATAAAGATGATTTCATTGTGTTGCTGTGTGAGGCTAAAAATAAAAACGGTAAACACACCGATCGTGTCTGTCGCAGGGCCCGAATGATCCATAAATGTGTGGGAAAATTAGTACACCCCATGAATCCCTGTGTGTGTTTAATGGGTTTGTAAATATATTTGAGGGAATCTGTAAATGGGGAGCCTTTGAAACATCTGGCTGTCCGAGCGAGTTCACCCCAAGAGCAGGCCGTATGACGCTAAAAGAAGTCTCCAAGTACCCTAAAATATCAAATATTATCTTGAGGCCTTCGGAATAAAATAATCATAATTAAAACAGAAAAAAACTTTGATAATATTTAATTCTGTCTGGATTTATTAAATCATTTTTTGAGTGAATTGAATAGAATTGATGTAAAGATTTGCTATCACTTAGGCGAAAATGTTTTTTTTTTCTTCTAATTAGCTTCATTGGAAAAACAAAGTTATTTTTGTGCAATAGAACTAGATATCAATATGAGCATTTCTTAAAGAACTAATATTTTTTAACATAGCCTCATGTCGCAGTGGAGCGGTGGTTCCCAAAGTGTGGGGCGCGCCCCCTGGGGGGAAATTGTGCCATTACAGGGTGGGTGTGGATGAATGAAAAAAAACAAAAAAACAAAAGAAACAGTGACACAAAAGAGTTTCACTGTAAAGATGGTTTGTAGTTTGTTTTGTTGCAACCTGAAGTGTGAGATAAACTCCAGTGGAGTTGGAAAACAAAGTATGTGTTTAGGTTTATGTCTGATGGAACGACATCAAGCGCCAGTTGATTTTATTTTATTTTTGGGGGGGAACCACTGCAGTAAAGACACTCGGGGGATTAGCACAAGAACAAACAGCACATTTCTGAAAAGCAGGAAATTAACTCAGTCAAGACTTACCCTGACTAATTACTCGCATCACTTCTCAAAATCTGTCACTAGATCAGCTTTTGTCTACCCTGATAGGTCTAGAAGAGGAAAACAGACGCTGCAGCTTCCAGATAAGGGCAAACTCAGAAGGATGAGCACATGTGAGAGTGCCTCTGTCTGTGTGCGCTCGCAGTGGAGTAACACTATGGCCATTTGAAGCGTGAAAAAAGGGGAGAAAAAAATGCCTCAGAGCTGTGAATGTTGCTCAAGCAGAAAGACGGGATTGAGGGAGGGGAAGATGGAAGAGTGAGAGAAAGAGGAAGGAGGAGAAAAGGTCAAAGACGGAAATTCCAGATAAGTTAGAGAGGATCGATAAAGAGCATAAAACACATATTTGAGTTCATTTTCCTATGCTGTAATTAGATGACTGAAAAGAGTCGACTCCTTCACTTATCCAACTTGAAATAGCTAAGCTGTTTGCAATAAAGTCAAAGTACAATATTTATCCACTGTGGCACTTTGATTTGAGGTTGCAAATGTACTTATGTACCATTGACATTGTGGCTACGGCTTCTATATCCTCTGATATTGTGCACACATCGACGAAGACGTTTTCCCAAAATCCTTCAGTTACATTTTCAAATCTGTTTCTCTTTACTCAACTAGTCATGTTGTGCTTAGACTGTCAATTTCCTTGCAATACACACAACCCATTTCCTGTACAATCACACAAGTGCCACACATGGTTATCAAGTCAACAATACTAAGTCTTAAGATTACCTTTTTGTCCCTCGTACCTCTCAGAAACTTTATATTTTTGTCATTCCACACTTATCCATAAAGGTTTAAATGTTTTTTTTTCAACACCGTGCCCATCTTCAAACATGTTCTGCTGGGATTACAGACTGAAAACCACACACACACACACACACACACACACACACACACATGCTCAGAAAACACACACAAAACCGAGGGTGTAATTGTTTCCGAGCTGCTCTTTGATGGCTGAGTCAGTGAACATGTCCTCTATAACATCATGATAAGAAGAACCTCAGTTTAAAGGCAGCAGCTGTTTCCCTTTCATCCTCTCCCTCCTCTTCTTCTTCTTCTTCTTTCTGCTTCTTCCCATCCACCCACTGCTTTCACGATGGTGCACTAAGCCAGAGAAGATAGGGCAAATCCCTCCTCTGAGCAGAGCAGGCAGGCAGCAAAGACAGAGGGAAAGCACAAAAAAAGAGACCGAGGAGGAGGAAGAGAGCTGAGATCAGAACACACTTCTCAAATCTGTCCTTTCTACCCCTTCATTTATCTCACTCCAGCCAACCAGCTTGCCGTTAGCGGCTGCATGCTTTGTTGTTATGTGTATGTATATGGTGTCCCCCCCTCCACCACCAACCTGGTGATGTAAGTAAAACTCTGACTCATACAATTTTTGCTTCTTTCTTTATGATTTTAAGCTCAAACGTACACTTAATTTGAATATAGCGAGTAACTATACCCAAATTTACCCAATTTTTTTTATGGCATTTCAATCCACAGTGGATGTAATCAAACATTTAAAAAATAAATGCTATCAATTACAATAGTAATAATAACAGGGTTTTTTGCCAGACTTTTTTAATGAATATAACTTAATGAGGAAGTATGATTAGCTGCATTTTAACTATCAAGAAATTTGACTAAACGATACTTTGTCTCCCTCTAGTGGATTCTTTAGGTGGCACATTGTTCGGCCCCTGAACGACAGGAGTTGATGGACATTTTCAGTTTGAATTTTTATTTATGTTTATTATTATTATTTACAATTTTTAAAGTTCAGTTTTTTTTTTTTTTTTTTTTTGGATTACTACTATGTTAGCACCAAAAGGTAATTTTTACGTCACTAAAAATAATCAAACCAACCAATAATTTTGTTTCAAATTAAATCAAGTTAACGACGCACGTTTGATAGTTATCCATTGTCTTGTTTTTTTTTTATTTGTTTGTTTGTTTTTCGGCTACGGCTGCTTGTTGTCTCCAGAGTGAAAACAGGTGCACTCGGATGTTGTGGGAATATGCTGCGTTCAAGTGTAAAAAAAAGAAAAATTGTCGAGATGGCTACTAAGAAATGCCGAAAAGAATAACTGGATAGAATTAGGTGATTGCCTGCAAACACTGTGACAATTTAATAGTTAATCTACCATTACAGTCACTCTTTATACAATGACAAACTTTTACCTATACTTCAACATATTTCATTGTTTCAGTTCAGACTGATATGTTACTATTTTAACTAAAGAAATATATGATGAGAAAGTTATTAAGGAAATAATATTAACTAAAATCAATTACTTAATATCAGCATAACATTTTTGGAAATGTTTGTCTAAATTTGTAAGCGTTACCCTGGTCTCCGCTCTGCGTTTTTCAGAAAGAAAACGCGTTTCAGACCTTGACTGTCGGAGTTTACGTGAAGGCAGCACGGTCTGGTGCGTGCACTCTGCTGACGAGCGGTTGCTTGTGGAAACAGCTGGCGGTTTCTATCAGAGAACTCCGCTCGGGATTGAAAGCGACATTAGCGAGAATAAAAGTTCAAATTAGACTCGAAACCGAACGAATGCGGTCCGGGCTGAGTCCGCGCACCTGTTCCGAGTGAAACCGGGAGTTGTCATCCTGCGAGACCCACTTTAAATCCGGCAGTTGGAGTCAAT